TGGAAAATCCTAGGAATGGTCCCGAATCTGCACACAGAAATCACTCCCTACGAAAGTAAAAGACTGGGCAGGCGATGCAAAATATCCCCAGTTAAAAGTAGGGGCGTCATTGGTACACTAAGAGAAAACACCATAAGTGTCTGGGGCCCAAGACTGTTCAACAGCCTTCCACCAAGCATAAGGGGAATTACCTAAACCCCTGATTGCCTTCCGTGGACTGCTTGCAGAGGCAAATGCAATGTTCGCGGCTTTCACAGAGACACACATGAAGGATCACTTGGACAACGAAATATGGATCCAAGGTTACAACCTATACAGATGTGACAGAGTGAACAGGCAAAAGGGAGGGGGGGTTGGCCTGTACATTGCAGAGTCACTTGTTTGCACAGAACTGCTTAATGCCTCAAATGATGTAGTGGAAGTTTTAGCAGTAAAGGTCGAGAACCAAAACCTAGTCATTGTGGTAGTCTACAAGCCTCCAGATGCAACATCCCAGCAATTCCAGGAACAGCTGTTAAAAATTGACCACTGTCTGGAAAATCTTCCAGCTCCTGCACCCAACATCTTGCTCCTGGGGGATTTCAACTTAAGGCACCTAAAATGGAGGAATATAGCAAATAATATTGTTGCAGTAATAACACCAGGAGGTAGCTCTGATGAAAACTCACATTCACACGAGCTTTTAAATCTCTGCACAAAATTCAATTTAAACCAGCAAATAATAGAGCCTACTAGACTGGAGAATACACTAGACCTCATCTTCACTAACAATGATGATCTGATAAGAAATGTCACCATATCAAAAACAATATACTCAGATCACAACATAATTGAGGTTCAGACATGTATGCGTGGAGCCCCAGACCGACATAATGAGATTAGTCACGAGAGGGAATTCACCAAATTCAACTTCAATAACAAAAACATAGTGGGACCAAGTAAACCAAGTCCCAACCGATATAAGCTGGGAAGATATACTAAGCAACACAGACCCCAACTTATGCCTAGAACAGATTAACTCGGTGGCACTCGATGTATGCACAAGGCTTATTCCTCTAAGAAAAAGGAGGAGTAGATGTAAAATAGAAAGAGACAGGCGCTCCCTTTGCAGGCGACGGAAAAGAATAACAGAGCGGCTAAAAGAGGCCAATATATCTGAAATGCGTAGGGAGTCACTGGTCAGAGAAATAGCAAGCATCAAACTTCAGCTAAAGGAATCTTATAGGAGTCAGGAATCGCGGGAAAAACTAAAAGCCATAAATGAAATCGAAAGAAACCCAAAGTATTTCTTTTCCTATGCCAAATCAAAGTCGAGAACAACGTCCAGTATTGGGCCCCTAGTTAAACAAGATGGGTTCTACACAGATGACAGCAAGGAAATGAGTGAGCTACTCAAGTCCCAATATGACTCAGTTTTTAGCAGACTGAGAGTCGAAGATCAAAATGATTTTTTATGAGAGAGCCACAGAATTTGGTTAACACAAGCCTATCTGATGTTATCCTGACGCCAAATGACTTCGAACAGGCGATAAATGGCATGCCCATGCACTCTGCCCCAGGGCCAGACTCATGGAACTCCGTGTTCATCAAGAACTGCAAGAAGCCCCTATCACGAGCTTTTACCATCCTATGGAGAGGGAGCATGGACAAGGGGGTCGTCCCACAGTTACTAAAAACAGCAGACATAGCCCTACTCCACAAAGGGGACAGTAAAGCAACAGCAAAGAACTACAGACCGATAGCACTAACATCCCATATCATAAAAATCTTTGAAAGGGTCCTAAGAAGCAAGATCGCCACCCATCTAGAAACCCATCAGTTACACAACCCAGGGCAACATGGGTTTAGAACAGGTCGCTCCTGTCTGTCTCAACTATTGGATCACTACGACAAGGTCCTAGATGCACTAGAAGACAAAAAGAATGCAGATGTAATATATATAGACTTTGCAAAAGCATCCGACAAGTGTGACCATGGCGTAATAGCGCACAAAATGCGTGCTAAAGGAATAACAGGAAAAGTTGGTCGATGGACCTATAATTTCCTCACAAACAGAACACAAAGAGTAGTAGTCAACAGAGTAAAGTCCAAGGCAGCTACGGTGAAAAGCTCTGTTCCACAAGGCACAGTACTCGCTCCCATCTTGTTCCTCATCCTCATATCTGACATAGACAAGAATGTCAGCCACAGCACCGTGTCTTCCTTTGCAGATGACACCCGAATCTGCATGACAGTGTCTTCCATTGCAGACACTGCAAGGCTCCAGGCGGACATCAACCAAATCTCTCGGTGGGCTGCAGAAAACAATATGAAGTTCAACGATGAGAAATTTCAATTACTCAGATATGGTAAACACGAGGAAATTAAATCTTCATCAGAGTACAAAACAAATTCTGGCCACAAAATAGAGCGAAACACCAACGTCAAAGACCTGGGAGTGATCATGTGGGAGGATCTCACCTTCAAGGACCATAACATTGTATCAATCGCAGCTGCTAGAAAAATGACAGGATGGATAATGAGAACCTTCAAAACTAGGGATGCTGTGGAAAATTGCATTTATCTGAATGTATCATTATGTACATAACAGTAAATGAACAAAGATAATTATTATTTATCAGTTAGACAAGTAGGAATTTGGGACACCTAGGTCACAAAAAATGTCCCCCTTCGATACCTACCACTGTCATATCCACAAGTTGCTCTAGACCTATTAATTACAAATAAAAGATGCATCAACAAGAATTCTGGTAAATGAAATTTGGTGGACTGTATATTAAAAATAATAAATAATTATATATATATACATAACTAAAGGAGAATATCTTAAAATCACTCACCAATTTGACTGGAAATCAAGGTGTATCATACTCAGAAAACCTCTGTCTATACACGAAAATAACACTGGCCAGAGTTACAACATCACAGACTTATCTGAGGTTCCTGGAGTTGTCTTGTCCAGTCGCCTGATATCTCAAGTCATGCAGAAATGCACATCCAACAATTTCGCCTCCTATTTGAGAGGTGTCAGCCCAATTTTAACCTCTAGAGCACGAAAAATTCTTCCCATTCACTAACATCTGTTACTCTCAATTCAAACAAACAATGGCGAGTGTCTTCTGCGCAGGAGCAGCTTCTTCTCATTGTCAATAAATAATTTTTTATTATATACAATATAGGACATCTATTTACCTATAAATTACCGTATTTCCGGAAAATATACAGTATTTTCCACAGATGCCAAGCCCATGATGACACTCTTCAGGTCACTTGTTCTATCTAGGCTGGAATATTGCTGCACACTAACAGCACCTTTCAAGGCAGGTGAAATTGCTGACCTAGAAAATGTACAGAGAACCTTCACGGCGCGCATAACGGAGATAAAACACCTCAATTACTGGGAGCGCTTGAGGTTCCTGAGCCTGTATTCTCTGGAACGCAGGCGGAAGAGATACATGATTATATACACCTGGAAAATCCTAGAGGGACTAGTACCGAACTTGCACACGAAAATCACTCACTACGAAAGCAAAAGACTTGGCAGACGATGCAACATCCCCCCAATGAAAAGCAGGGGTGTCACTAGCACGTTAAGAGACCATACAATAAGTGTCAGGGGCCCGAGACTGTTCAACTGCCTCCCAGCATACATAAGGGGGATTACCAATAGACCCCTGGCAGTCTTCAAGCTGGCACTGGACAAGCACCTAAAGTCGGTACCTGACCAGCCGGGCTGTGGGTCGTACGTTGGTTTGCGTGCAGCCAGCAGTAACAGCCTGGTTGATCAGGCCCTGATCCACCGGGGGGGTCCTGGTTATGGACCGGGCCCCGGGGGGTGCGTTGATCCCCGGAATAACCTCCAGGTACCCATGGGAAGAGTTTAGCTCTTCTTCTTCTTCTCCTTCTTCTTCTTCTTCTTCTTCTTCTTCTTCTTCTTCTTCTTCTTCTTCTTCTTCTTCTTCTTCTTCTTCTTCTTCTTCTTCTGAGGGACTGATTACCTCATTCTCCTCCTGTTCTTCAAGATTCTCCTTTGTATGGACTGATGAAGCCACTGTGTGGCGAAACGTTTCCTCAATAAAGATACCCAAGAGTTGCACATGTGTCTAATTTATCATTATTATTGTTGTTGTTGTACGTTTTCTGTACGTACGGATAAACTTGTGGGTAATGTGATGTAATCTAATATGACAGGAAGAAGGTTAGGGCTAAAATTCCTTGAATCAAAGACCCCAGTGGAAATAGGTCACTTTATCTTACTTTTTTGGGTTATCCTGGGTAATGTACATACATGTTACTAGGTATGATAACTGTATTTATGCGCACCTGTATTTAAATAAACTTACTTAGACCTTCAACATCATCAAAAAGGCATCCCTTTGAATTCACCTGGGACCTTTTATTGGTGCATCGAACACTGACCATTGAGCTACGGGTCCCTTCAGGTGGGAGCAATGACAATTCAGGAGGTCGAGCTTTAGTTTAGCACTTTTATAATAAAACAAATGCATATATACACGTATGCAGTCGCACTTTTCAAATTTACAAGGAAATATAATTAATATGGTTACCCTGAGTGTTAGGACACCCAAGAAAAGCCGGTGTTCTAATTTTTTTGTATCCTAGTTCATGTATCAGTTCATCAAGGAATAATTCATGTACATGATATTAGATAATCCATAGTGTTCATCTGTATTTATGAAAAAAGGTGTCAGTCATGCAAAGCACCATATATTTCCCTTTAAGCCCTATGTGTGTAGGGGAGTACATTGTTTTGCAGAGACGCCACGCATGCGTACTACCTGCAGATGACAGTTTTGCCACATATTCAAGCTCTTCGCAGCTTCTTAATCATTAAAATTATATTGTTTTAGCCATCAGATCCATATAATACTAATTTGTAATGGCGTAAGATTTAATTGCTAGGAAAATAAAGCTTGTTGTGGTCATTTGAATGTGTATTTAGGCTTTAATATAAGGTTCAATTGTTGATCGATTGTTGTGTGAGTTGGTAAGAGTGTGGTAGTGAGGGAGGCAGTGGACGCCATCACACTACACAACAAAATGTCGGAAGACGTAGACGGCCCAGATAAAATTAATGCAGCTCCTGGAGATTCCGGAAACGCAGAAGGCGATAATGATGGGGGTTCTGGACCACCGATGTCCATGCGAGGAGGAAGAGGGGGATTCAGGTGAGGAACATAGAGTGGTTCTTTGAAATTGCTGGAGTGTCCAGGTATTGTGTCCATGCGGGGGAGAATTACTTTTGCTAATTTTAATCTCCCATGGAAGTTTTCTTCATGCTGTAAGGAGCTCTTGGTCCAAGGACCTGGACATGAACCAGATTACTTCTTATTCCAAAGGCGCTGTATAATCACTACAGGTTTTGCGCTTCCCTATAAATTTAATTATTTTCAATACGCCTGTTTATAATTACTTCAAAAGCAACAACAGAATTTTATATAAACTAGTCACTGCTTGTAGGAGCTGATTTGTGAAGGAAGATTGGGAATAAGACAATGGGATAGATGTAGGTGGAACAATTGTTCCACCTGCTTATTGGGCTCCTCCCGAGGACAAGATTTAGCACTTATTTATGAGTATTATAATAATGATGTACCCGAGGACAATAAGTTTATTTAGGTACAAGTACACTTAAGTACAATTATCATACATAGGACCACAATGGAAACGTCACTAACTTTTTTTTAGGTTATCCCAGGTTCAATACACATGCTGCTATGTATGATAATCTAAGTAACTATTTGTGAGTAGCTGAATAAGCTTACTTAATTAGTGTAAATTACCTAGGATAATCCAAAACAGTCAGACAAGATTGATGAATTAGATACATTTGTGACATCTGGGTATCTTTACATTGCACCATTCAGTGGCTTTATCGGTACAATACAATACAATACAATACAATACAAGGACATAATCTAAAGACAGTAGAAATATATACAAAATATTAGTGGAAGATGAAGTAATCAGTCCCTCTGCCTATGTGCTGGTTATAAAAACTTTTAGTAAGTTTATATAGGCACAAGTATACATAAGTACAATTATACATAGTGTAAATTACCTAGAATAACCCAAGAAAGTCAAAGTGACTTGTTTCCATTTAAAGATTCTTAAAGACAGTGGTGTTTATCACCTGATCCTAGGCTGAGGGACTGATTACATTGTCTTTCACTATCTAATGTCTATATTTTGTCAGTCTTCCTATGTCTGTGTATTGATACAGCCATTGGATGGCAAAAAGCCTACAAGTAAAAATATCCTGATGTTGCACATGTGTGTAATTCATCACTTGAGAGGATATAGGGTCAACCTCACACAAGGCAGGATGTATGAACAAGTATCCTTACACTTTTTACCCAACAGCAGATATATACCAATGGAAATAAGTCACTTTTTTGTTAAGAGTTTTCCTAGATTTAAAACTGTATAACTCACGGAATCATAATAACAAGATTGCAAACAAACTCACTTTCCATGGGTTAAACCCCACCTGTCCTGTGGTTAGGTCTATATATTTATATGAAACTGATAGTAAAGCTTCATAGATTTTTGTTGACTGCTATAATGCTTACTTCATGTATTATTTAATAATTTACTAGGGACTGAAGCGTCAGTGTTACAGTTGTCACAAATGTACCTGGAGTATACCTACCTCTCCAGGTATAAGTGGAAGGGGTTTTGGGGATCAATGCTCTGGTGACCCGATCTGTGACCAGGCTGCATGGTGTATCAGTGCGTGATCAACCAGGCTGTTACTGCTGGCCCCACACAAACCAATGTACCAACATAACCATAGTTTGTGCTGAATGACATTCTGTTAGGTCACTAATATTCCAAGTCGTTGAATTTCCAGGTCACTGACATAACCAGTGAATTATCCTGACAGCAGGTTATTAGATAAAATATTACCAAGAGTTATTAAAAAAATTGCTTTGGTTTATTTAAAGTTACGTAATGATACTGAGTTAGTGTTTACTGATAATTGTACAAAATTTATATGTGGGAGAATTATTCATCTGTAGGAAAATATCTTGAAACCTTGATCTGTCTTTATTTATTTTATTTATTTATTTCCAATTTGAGCACACATACAGAGGTACAAAAAAATACAGATAAGAGCAGCATGCCAAAGCCACTTATACTATGCATAGCATTACGGGCTGGCTTAAAATTTACTTAAGATTAACTAAGCAATGATGAAATCAGTGATAAAACATTAATGTAAACAGATTACTATAAAGCACAAGTGAGTATTACAAAGACAGGTCATATGGTTGCATTCAGTTAGGTTGTGATTCTGTTAGGTAGTGTATTTAAAAAATAATAAAGTTAGATTCGGTTTTAGGTTTAACATTTATGTGATATAATTGTGAGAAACATTTAAGATATACAATTTATAAGGTTCAGTTATTCAGTATTTATTTGGTTTTGGGTGAGTAAGTGATCTTTGAGAAGAGACTTGAATTTATAAACAGGTAGTGTTTCTTTTATATTTACAGGTAATGAATTCCAGATTTTAGGGCCTTTTATGTGCATTGAGTTTTTGCATAGTGTGAGATGGACACGAGGAACATCAAAGAGTGATCTGTGCCTTGTGTTATGGTCATGTGTTCTGTTGAGGTTGGCAAGGAGATGTTTGAGGGGAGGGTTAATATCAGAGTTAAGTGTTCTATGTATGTAATAGGTGCAGTAATAAGTATGGATGTTTTGTATGGTGAGTAGGTTTAGTGTATTGAATATTGGTGGAGTGTGCTGCCTGTAGTGAGAATTTGTTATCATTCTAACTGCAGCCTTTTGTTGAGTAATTAGTGGTCTGAGATGGTTAATTGGAAATGTAGGCGAGATCATTAGTATTCTGTAAAAGCTCTCCCTGTAGGTAGCCTAAATTGTTGCCCAACTCACTTATATAGAGATCCTGACACCACATAGGCTTCATATCCATCAGTCTTTAGTTACATTTTTTTTATGGGTGCTTGTTATTGGGGGGAGGGGGGTTAATTGCCCATGGCAGCTCTTGCCTTACCAGGCCCTGCTTCCTGGTGGTGCTGTATCCATGAAGCTCGTGTAGTGTCATGATCTTAACATGCTATTCACATTTTTTGTACACTGGCTGAGTTGTTATAATCATGAGTTTGAAATGGCAAGGTTGCTGTTTTGGTCCTCAGTATTTCTTACAGTTTCTTGTTAGTATTAGTTTTATAAAGTGCTTTTGTTAATATCAACTTTTTCCATATATAACTGAGTGTTTATTAGCAATAGTACTGCTCACTGCAATACACTCGATTAATTGGACTTAAGAAATATAGAACACAATCTACTGGGTTGTTTGATTCAGAAACAACACATGAAGTTCATTGGTTAAAGAATTGTCCATTGTTGTGTTCATGGCAAAGCACTCTTCTTTATCCAAAATTGCCATTACTGGCCACAAGCTCCTGTTAGTCCACTAAATTGAGGGTTTACTGTATACTGTACATTAATTGTAACATTACAGTAAGTAAGTAAGTAAGTTTATTCAGGTATACACAAATACAGTTACATAGAATTATCATACATAGCAGCATATGTGTAGAGAACCTAGGATAACCCAAAAAAGTCAGACAGAGTGACTTATTTCGTCTTGAGGCAAGAGCTTTGGGTAGTTGAGATTAAATTGACAAGTACATATATAATGAATCAGATTGGTGTAAGTAGGACCTGCCTAGCTCAAGCTAGTAGTCTAACTGCAATGCTCATCCATTTTTATGCTCCTTACTTCAGTTTTTATATACGTGTATACAGTATTTGAGGCTTGAGTATTCTCGTATTAGCTTTGGATTTGCTCAAAATGTTGTCCAGGAAAGAAGTCGCATTTTTTAAATAAGGTTTTCCTAGGTTAAATCAATGTAATGTTCATTTAATGTGTACGTAATGTGTAAACCCCCCCCTTCCCCCTGCAAGACGATAGTGAATTGTGTGTGTTGGGTATGCAAAGAGTAAATAAAAGCTTGGCTAAAATTGAATATTGTCAAATACCTGAGGAAGGGTTGTCCAAGTACTTTTGGCATTTATGTTTGCTTGAGCAGAACAGGATAACTAAGAGGGTATATAAATTTGAGGTGAAAGGAAGGAGAGGTAGGGTTTCTCAGGAAGGGTGGGAGGGAAGAAGGCAAAGATATTGAGTGCTAGGAGCTTGAACATTTAACAAGATTGTGTGAGCATGATAGATTGGAGTGAGTAGAGATGAATGTTGTGTACGATGACATGCTGGTGGGGAGTGAGTAGAGTACGTAATTGTCGTTGAGGTGGGAAATAGTGTTCTGCGCTCTAAAGGAGGGGTGAGGATGCTGCAGTTCAGAGGGTCATCTGAACTGTGATGTCAGCACACCTCTGGCAAGACAGGAATTGAGCGAATGACTGAATGTGCTGCTCCTATTTTTTTGTCACCCTAGCATGGTGGGGGAGTTAGTGATAAAAACGTATTATCATGGCCTTGGAAGTACCAGAGAGTGCTGCTTTAGCATTACTGATAGGGGAACAACATAAGGACAGAGTAGCTTGGTAGTGGGCCTACTGACCCATGGGAGGAAAATCATATTCGTCAGAACTGTAAAGCTTCCCCCCCCCCCCAAAAAAAAAAAAAAAACTATGAAAGGCAGCCATCTGAATCATCACAGTCTAATTCTAGGCACCACACCTCACCCCTTATTGAAGTTCCTCAATTTTCTGAATATAAATGTCATTGTACTACTGCGCTGTAATTTTGAATAAAAAAAAAAACCTAATCCTCCTACCACTTAAAGATCATTTTCCCCCATGTACATGACCAGATTCAAGGCTGCCAACTATCCCTTCATTTTTTCTTAAAATTTTCTGCATGTACAACAGTCAGATAATATTTTGAATATATTATTATTACTAGTCTCCAAAGATGGGACAAAATCAGGTACTTTTGGCATCATTAGTCTATGCAGTGTTTTCAAAATGTCTGTTAACCTTTTCACTGTTGAGACTCCTGCTCACAAACTTGCTCTCAGTGCTGAAGAATTTTCAAAAGCAAAAAAAAAAAAATTTTTTTTTCTTATGAAATGATAGAGAATCTTTTCCCAATGGTAATTATACCAAAATTATGAAATTTGATGGGAAACTTAGGGAATTATGCTCTTGTGAAGTTAGTGGTCTCGGCAAT